ACCCAGACACCTCCAGGGAGATCGAAATCAATCATATAAATGCAGTTCATACAGTGTGTATGTGTGTATGAGAGAGAGAGAGAGAGAGAGAGAGAGAGAGAGAGAGAGAGAGAGAGAGAGAGAGAGAGAGAGAGAGAGAGAGAGAGAGAGAGAGAGAGAGAGAGAGAGAGAGAGAGAGAGAGAGAGAGAGAGGATGAATGTTAAAGTACAGAGAGGGAGACAAAGAGAGTGCAAGCATGAATGCCACAGTGCAGAGAAGGAGAGAGACAGAGACAGCAGAGAGACAGAGACAGGGAGAGCGCAAGCATGGATGTCACAGAGCACATGTGGGAGTCATGCAGGTCCCCGGATCAAATTCAAGTTACAAGCCTTGGCAGCAAGCACATTTATCTAGGGCACCATCGTGCCCGCCTCACATACAGTCAGCACGCATTTGCTGGACATTCTTTGTTCTAGTATTGCCGTTAAACCTGGATTAAACTTGGACATTCTAATCATAGAACATCGTTTCCGATTTTTTGACTGTGATATAAACAAATAAGACAACTGTGGTGATTAATTTCGTATACCAAGTTGGCGGGGTCATGTTGCCCAGATACATCTGGTTAAACATTACTCAGGATGTTTCTATGATGGTGTTTTTGGAAAAGATTAACATTTAAATGAGTGGACTTTGGGTAAAGCAGATTGCTCTTCATAATGTGACTGGACCTCATCCAATTGGCTGAAGGTGTTATTACATCAAACACCGACCTTCCCAGAGCAGAAAGGAATTCTGCTAGGATCTTTTGCCTCAAACTGAAACTGTAATAAGTCACCACAGCCACATGAACCAATTTTATAGAATAAATATTCATCCCTAAATGACTACATTTATACATCTTATTGGTTTGGTTTCTATAGAAAAGCTTAAAAATTAGCCAAAGGATGAGGTGGAGTTGTGGAACACTGTCTTCCAGGCAACGGCGTGATTGTAGTAGCACTCTTGGATGCACAGCGACCGAGAATAACCTCGTGAGACCTGCATGAGAGAGGGGCTTATCAGGTCCCACCCCACACACACACTGGGGAATCTATAGGTAGTTAATGGTTGTCAAGAGAGAAAGATTTTTTTCTGTGGTATACACGCCAGGAAAGTGTCCAGACTACTGTACACATGGCCTCCCATGTGTCCTGTGAGTGGACTACTGTACACACGGCCTCCCATGTGTCCTGTGAGTGGACTACTGTACACATGGCCTCCCATGTGTCCTGTGAGTGGACTACTGTACACACGGCCTCCCATGTGTCCTGTGAGTGGACTACTGTACACACGGCCTCCCATGTGTCCTGTGAGTGGACTACTGTACACACAGCCTCCCATGTGTCCTGTGAGTGGACTACTGTACACACGGCCTCCCATGTGTCCTGTGAGTGGACTACTGTACACACAGCCTCCCATGTGTCCTGTGAGTGGACTACTGTACACACAGCCTCCCCCGTGCTCCTGTGAGTGGACTACTGTACACATGGCCTCACCCGTGCTCCTGTGAGCAGCACAAAGTAACTCGTTGGGACCGGGAGCAGGGGCATAAAAGTTCAGAGGGGACAAGCTGACTAAGAGAAGGCGGTAAGTGGGAGGGGTGGGAGGGGGAAGAGAGGGTATTGGGGTGAATATGATTGAAGTGCATTAGGACATGTATGGAAATATCATGAAGCTCATTGTTGTGTGTAATTACTATATGCTGATGAAGACATAAAATTAACCTCCTCGCAGAAGGCTAGAAAATTATTCAGATACTTCCTTTTTCTCATGATTCATGTTTACAAGCAGTTGTGAATACCCCCCTCCCGCCCCCCACTGTGGGTGCTGGGAATTGAACTTGTTCTTTTCCAAAAACACCAAGTGCTTGTTGTTAGCCATAGAGGCATCGATCCAGCTCTGACACAGTAGGGTTATTTCCAGGTAGAGAGAAGTTGGGCATATCTTAACTTGAAAGTACATTTAATATACCTAACCTTCTGGTCATAGTCACTTAGCAGTGTATAGAGAGTTTTGTCACACACCCCTACAGCCACCGTGCAACACAGGCCAGCACTGTACTTCGTTGTCACTAGCTCAGGAAAAATCAAAATTCAAAACCTGAGGCGGGGGTTTGTTCTGGTTCTGTGGTGCTGAAGATTAAGGCCAGAGTCCCCCACGTGCTAGTCAAGTATGCTTCCTACAGAATGAATGTCCCTTTCCCACCAGTGAGAGGTATAAAATCATTACGTTGAATCATTTTAAGTAAGGCACTGCTTGCAGCAACCTTAGAATACCTAGTAAAATGCAGGACAATCCTAAAACACCCCACAAAAACAAGGAGATCCTTATTATTCTTTTTACAATGCAGAAAGTTAAAAAACCTAATCAATTATAAAGACACAAAATACTGAAAGCCTAACGCCAGAATTCTAGTACAAATAGACCTTGGAATGTGGTTTTATAATGTTTCCTTAGAAGAATGAAATACTGACATTCCAACCCCCAAACTCTATTCTAAATAGACCTTAAAGTGTGGATTTATAATCTGTTTTCTTAGAAGAGTGCTTCAATTATTTTCACAAAGTCAACGTGTGAATGAGATGTGTGACTAGATTAGTTTCCCAAGTGCCAAGGGCTCAACTGGGTCTTCGAGTGCAGGAGGCTCCACTCCCTGATGGCAGAAGGCTTGGCTCGGTGACATGGGAGAGTCACAAAGGTCACTGCAGGAGAGAAATAACTTGACACCTTTTTCTGTAAAGGACTAGCTTGCCTTTAGCATGTTGAGACCCAAAGGCATAAAGTAGATTATAGGAGAGCTCACCTCTTGGTGTGGCAAGGAGGAAGAGAAGCCAGCAGTTACATTTCAGTTGTGGCTGTGTGGTCACATGATATGTAGATTGTGTGATTGTTGGCCAAACAACAAAAAGTTGAATTAAACCACATCCTCCTTGTCACAGAAAGTGTCCCCTTTAGTGACTTTTTAAAATGATCTCAATAGAACAAAAACATGATTTGGTTCTAAACCATTTTTAGAGTTTATGCTCAAATAAGGGGCTAGATAAAAGCAAATTGGCTTAAAAGAAAAAAAAAAAGAAGAGCTAGACAAGTATCTCACTACTCGTGTAACTGGAAATGTGCTGAAGAAGTTCCCCAGAGTGTGGTGACTAGGTGCTCATGTAACTGGAAATGGGCTGAAGAAGTTCCCCAGAGTGACCACACAGGTACCACAGCAGGACGAGTCCATGGTGGAAGTGCACTTGAGTCCATTTTCTTCCCATCTCTAAGTGGCCTGGGGCCTGGATAACTACCAGGTAGGAGAAACTGCCCACCAGCCTACACAAACCACAGTCGCCCTGCCCAGGTGCCCAGGCCAGCCTGCATGAGCATGCGCGGCCACACGTCCTCCCTGAGCCACGCCTGCCTCTGTGCCCAGAGACTGCTGACAAAGAGACACCTGACCAGAGACAGCACTAAGAAAAGCACAATGCAGCAGAGTCAGCCTCCTGAACCAATGGGGCCTTAGGAGGGGGTATAAGGGCAGGCCTCACTTCCTTAGTAAATGAGTCTACAGCATGCTCTGCTACTCACTGACTCCTGGTGCCGTGTCGTTGGTACGGCCGTGTCGTTGGTGCTGCATCTTCTCACCCCCTCCCGCGAGGGGTGTCTGAGCAGGGTCACCTGAAACACTCCGACAGTTCGAGGAGGCAGCTGTCCAGGCCAGGTGCATATGACTCTATGCATACGGACAGCATTGTCTAAGATGCATCTCGTACTAGATGATATTCTCCTTTCAGAACTTTTGTATTTGTGTATAGAAATGGGTTTAATAACTCACCATGATTCTGATCTGTCTTATAGCCATAATCTCTTAAAATTCTCAGATGTGTTTTTATAATAAAAAATAAAAGCAAGATATACACACATGAATACTGAAAATCCAAACAGTGTAGCCCAGACAGGCCTTGGTGTGTGGTAGTATAATCTGTCTGCTTAAGAGTGCTCAATTATTTTCACAAATTTGAAGTGTGAAGACTAGTTGTTAATTACCGTTTTAAAAAGCATTCAGCTGTCTCACACAGCACAATGCCAACAGACAATCCCAATTTTAACTTTTTTCCTTCCACAGGGTGTTTTTTCCAAGTATTTAGTTGCCCCCTGCTGGCCATATAACTACAGAATCCCTTTTTTTAAATTCCCAATTGATTGATTATATGTAAAAAATACCTCGCGGGAGCCGGGCAGTGGTGGCACACACCTTTAATCCCAGACTCAGGAGGCAGAGGCAGGTGGATTTCTTTTTTCTTTTTTTTCCGAGACAGAGTTTCTCTGTATTGTTTTGGAGGCTGTCCTGGAACTCGCTCTGTAGACCAGGCAGGCCTCGAACTCACAGAGATCTGCCTGCCTCTGCCTCCCGAGTGCTGGGATTAAAGGCATATGCCACCAACGCCGGACTGGCGAGTGGATTTCTGTGAGTTCTGGACCAGCCTGGTCTACAGAGTGAGTTCCAGGGTAGCTAGGGCTGTTACACAGAAAAACCCTCTCTCGGGCTGGAGAGACGGCTCAGAGATTAAGAGCACTGATTGTTCTTCCAGAGGTCCTGGGTTCAATTCCCAGCAACCACATGGTGGCTCACAACCATCTGTAATGAGTGAGATCTGGCGCCCGCTTCTGACCTGCAGGCATGCATGCAGACAGAACACTGTATACAAAATAAATAAAAATCTTTAAAAAAAAACCCTCTCTCGAAAATAAATAAATAAATATTAAAAATACATCAATGGGGTGGTTAAGAGCATTGACTGCTTCTCCAGAAGACCTGGGTTCTAACCCTAGAATCCACGTGGTAGCTCACAACCATCTCTAACTCCAGATCTAGAATATCCAATGCTCTTTCCTGGCCGTCATGGGCACCAGGCAAGCACATGGTGCACAGAAAAGCATACAGGTCAATATGAAAATACATGAAAAAAAAGCCAACCAAACAAAAGCTCTGTTGGTCCTCACTTTGACAGCATATTTGCTAAAAATGGGACAATAGAGATTAGCATGACCCCTGTATGAAGAATGCATGCAAACTTGTGAAGTGTTCCATATTTTTATAATAAAAAATCACTTTGTTGTGATGACTTCACAAATAGAAACATCACACTGCTCAACCAAGGCAGCAACTCAAACACATGCGGAGGCTAACCTCTATGTATCTCAGTGAACTTATGGAAGGCTACAGTAGCCATTCTGAAGGGGGGCTTCACTTAGGGTGTTACACTTTCCTGACCAGCTCAGTTACATTTTACATACTTATCCATGAGAGAGGGAGGGAGGGAGGGAGGGAGGATAAAACAAGAGCTTTATATCCTTGCATGACATTTTCCTTTCCTTTCTAAATGTTATACTATATCTAAACTTACTGGCGTCTACACACACACACACACACACACACACACACACACACACACACACACACACACACACCAGATTTTCATTATACATTCATCTGTTGAAAGCCATTTAGTTTGGTTCCATTTCCTTACTGTAGTAAATACAGCGGCAGGCAAGATGGATACACAAGTGTGTCTATGGCAAGATATGGAGTTCTCTGAGTGGTAGCTAGGAGCAGAACAGCTGGGCCATATGGCAGTTCTGTTTCTGTTTTAAGGAACCTCCAAATTGATTTCTATAGTGGCTATATATTCTGCGCTCTCACCAGCAGTGAATAAGATTCTTCTTTCTCTAAGTTTAAAAGTGTGTGTGTGTGTGTGTGTGTGTGTGTTGTTGTTGTTGTTGTTGTTGAGAGACAGGGTCCCACATATTATCAGGTTGACCTTCCAAACTGGCTGTGCAGCAAAGAGAGGAAGGCATTGATTGAACTTCTGATCGTCCTTCCTCTACTTTCCAGATTCCAGGACTACAGGCCTACACTTTCCAACCCAAAAGTACTTCTATTTTTGTTTGTTTTGTTCTGAGACAGAGTGTTACTCTGTAGCCCAAGCCATCCAGAAACTTATTAAGTAACCTAAACTAGTGTCAAATCCACAGCAGTCCTCCTGCCTCAGCCTCCTGAACAGTATTACAAGTGAGATCTGACACACATGGCTTTATTCAATAATCTTAAAAAACATATGTGGCGTGGTTGGTGTGGTGGTGCATGTCTTTAATACTAGCACCCAAGCAGCAAAGACAGGTTCATCTCTTTGATTTTGAGGCCAGGCTGGTCTACACAAGTTTCAAGCTAGCCAAGGCTACCTAGTGAGACATTTTAAAACATCAACAAAAACCCAACCCATACTGTTACACTGTGTTTGTTTGCATACCCCCCCCCCAGATAGGATTCCTCTGTATAGGCTTGACTGTTCTGGCACTAGTTCTATAGACCAGGCTGGCCGCTAATTCATAGAGATCCACCTGCCTCTGCCTCCTGAGTGCTGGGATTAAAGGCATGCACCACCACTGCCCAGCCTGTTTGCTTGCATTATTTTGCTGTGTCTGCTTGCGTCTCTCTAGCTAATCGTGGACACGATTCTTTATCTTTTTACTTTTTAGATTTACAAGTGTTTGCCTGCATGTGCGCATGCACAATGCGCATGCCTGAACCTTTGTGTTTCTGTTGACACCTACACTTCCTTATCTAGAAATGAGGTAGAACCTGCATCTATTTAAAGTTTATAATTTGACAGCCTTGACATGCATTGCGAAGTCATCCTGACAATCACCATATGGTGACAAATGTGTCACTCCCCTCAGTTTCTACCAGCCACTCTCTAATTCCTTTATGCTGTCTTTGAGACCTCTCCCACCCACAAGTACCCCCTTGTCTGCCGTCTGTCTCTGCTGACAAGCTCTACTTTTCTAGTAAAAAAAAATGTTGAAATTCAGTAGTTTGAAAGTAAGACAAGATATAGGCACTGGCCTATAATCACAGCTACTAGGGAAGCTGAGGCAGAAGGATCACCAGTTTAAGTCCAGCCTCGGCTTCAGAGGGAATGAAATAGAAAAACTCATTTATGTGCCTTTCAACATGCATACACATCTGTACACATAATGTATATTATATATAGTATGTCTAACTATATCAGCAATCAGGTGTCCCCAGCTTGACCCTCAAGGCAGTGGTTGAAAGCAGTGGCTAAGCACTCAGACTTCTGAGTCAACAGCCTTAAGCCTGAATCTTAGCTGTCATTTACCAGCTGTGTGACTTCGGGCAAGTTACTCAACATCCTAACTGAGGCTGATTGTTGTTGCCCCGTGCTTTGGGAAACTAATAATAGCATCTAATCTCACGAGGATGTTGTGAAATGGCATGCAGGCGCTTGGTTAAGACCGGACCTGTCACTCAACCAGTGGTCTTCTGTCGCTTTGAAGAGAGCCATGTCAATTCTAAGGAAAGAAAATGAGATCGCTGATCATGAGGCCAGTGTTAAGCTCAAGGGAACATTTCTAAGACCTTAGTGTCACTCATCTGTTTGACGTGGTGTACCACTCAGGTCCTTTTCCTCAGCACCCCACTGGGTTTCCTTTCTTACAAACCCTTCCCAAGTGTCATGCTATCTGTTTCCTCATAATCCCAACCTCTAAATTTAGGACCTTCCTTCACCTTTGTGATCTGGCAAAAAAACTTGGCCAGAGACAGCCACAGTGACTCAGACCCTTGAGGGGGCAGGTATCCTGGAAACAAAGACATCTTAGGTAAGGTTTCTATAGATGTTAGGGAACACAGAAACCAAAAGCAACGCCGGGAGGAAGAAGGGTTTATTTCACTCACAGTTCCATTAACAGTTCATTGTCTAAAGAGCCAGGGCAGGAACTCAAACAGGCCAGGAAGCTGGAGGCAGGAGCTGATGCAGAGGTCATGGAGGGTGCTGCTTACTGGCTTGCTCCCCATGGCTTACTCAGATTTGCTTTCTTATAGAATCCAGGGCCATCATCCCAGGGATGACACCACCCGAAATGGGCTGGGCCCTTCTATATCAGTCACTAATTAAGAAAATACCCTACAGCTAGATCTTATAGAGGCATTTTCTCAATTGAGGCTCCCTCCTCTCTGATGACTTTAGCTTGTGTCAAGTTGACATAAAACTGTTCAGTGCAACACAAAACTGAGGTAACGGCTGCTTTTTATGATAATGTTCTTTGCTTTTTGTTGTTGATATATATTTTTTGAGACAGGGACTGGAGAAATGGCTAAGTGCCTCCAGCACTGGCTGCTCATCCAGAGGACTTGAGATCGATTCCCAGCACCAGTACACAATACATCACATGCAAGTGGGTCACAGCCATCTGTGGCTCCAGGGGATCTGATACCTCCATGGGTACCAGACATGTATATGGAGCACAGACACACATGCAGGCAAAACACCAATACACATAAAATAAAAATTAAAGAAGAAGAAAGGAATGGTGGCATGTCTTTAATCCCACCATTGGGAGGCAGTGGCAGGTAGGTCTCTGTGAGTTCAAAGCCAGCCTGGTCTACAAAGCAGATCCAGGACAGCCAAACATCAAAACTAAAACCAAAAAGTCTTCCTCACCTGAGTGTTAGTTGATGTGGTAATACACTTTTCACACATTATGACTCTGGGGGGGGGGGGGAGGGAAAGGTCTGCACTTTTAAAAATAATTAATTCTGCCTTGGGTCAGCACCATGGTGCAGTGGGGACAGGTGCTTGGTACACAGACGGATGAACTTGGTTTGGCCCCTGGGAACCGAATGTTGGAAGGAGGGAACCAATTCCATAAAGCTGTTGTACTCTGACCTCCAAATGTGATTTTGTGGCACACACCCCCCCCTTCAATCATATCTCTCTGTCTCTCTCTCTCTCATAATTAATTAATTAAGCTGAACATTTAAAAGACATCCTCGATTAGTTATTGTCTCCATGAGTTTTTCTGTTTGGCGATGTCATGACCCATCATACTCCATTCTTAGTTCTGAGGGTCGAGCTCAGGTGGTCAGACTTGGCAAGCCCCATTGCCACACTGACTCATCTTACCGGCTCCTCCCGTCAATCTTGATATTGTAATAATCCATGAGAGAAGGGTACAGACAAGCACGGGGGTCAAGCCCCATAAAAGTCCTTTATTAGCTGGTGACCAAGCCTCTTGCCTCCAGGTCTCTTGGTGTTGACTCTCAGGGTTACAGCGTTTTTAAGGCAAAAATCATGAAGACCGTAAGTGACTCCAACGTTAGGTGACAGGCTGAGTGACATTGAAGTGCTCATTCTTGGCATGGCATAGTAATTATTTCAGATATAACATGATGATTGTTTATGGCTCTTACCTTCTTCGTTTATTTTAGTTTACATTAATTATTCTGGTTACATTAATTACATCTGGACCATGGTCAAAGTCATAGAGATCTCAGATGTGTTGCCAAGGCAGATGTGGCTGCGGTGGGGGTAGAGGGCCGAGAACTAAGTAAACACAAAATGGGGTCTGAACAAGATGGTGTTATCTTCGCCACCTCAGTTACATCCTGTCCATCACGGAAGACTTCATTTTCATTATTCTTAGATTTGTATGTGCATTCTAATTTATCAAAACCAATTTCTGCAAATGTATTACGTCTTCCTAGAGAAAGAATTTACCTTTAGTCTTAAGTGATGACATTATTTTGAAGTGACCAGACCCCAGTTTTAGCAGCCATGACAGGCTAACATGTGCTTGCGTGACCTTGCCGCTCCTGTCCTGGTCACTAGGAGGTCAGATGCCCTTGTGGCAAGGAACCAATCAGAAGTTAGCTGGTGGGGCTGTGCTTTATGACTGTGGGTGTGCTTTATGGACAATCGCACAATACTGTGCAGAGCATAGCAACCGCCCTAGGAGGGCCTATGGGCCATAGCAACCAGTTGACCAATCAACACAGGGTAGGTCACCCAAACCTGGAAGCGCACCAATCCTGAGACTGTTTCATTCCCCTAGACTCTCCCCTTATACTGCCCTTTAAGATCCTGCCTTGCGGTTTCCCCAGGTCTTTCTCCAGCCATTCACTGCGGTGAATGGATGAAGGACCCGAGCTAATGGGGTTAGCTCGTTAAACAACTACAATAAAAGACTCTTTGCTTTTGCATCCAAATGAGCCTCTTGGTGATTTTGGGGCTCAGA